GAGAGTGTGCTTGAAACCTTTAGAACCCAATGTCCTATGCGAGCTTCAGTTCTTGAACTTGTTCCCTGGGAACCAGGGAGGATCAGCAGGCAGAGGAGGCAAACCCCACACCTTGCCAGCAATGTTGCTTACTTAGAAAGTGTAGGTTCATTTTTAAAATAAGTTTGATTTTCTTTTCAGAGATTACTTGTTCAGGGATCTTATTTCTCCCCAAGTACCTCCTCCCCTTTTTTGTGGTACTGGAGATGGAACCCAGAGCCTTTTGCATGCTAGGCAAGCACTGTACCACTGAACTACACAAGCTTTTTGTGCTAGGGTAAAGAATAGCAACAAGGAAACACATTCTGGTCTCTGCTTTTAACCTTCAAATTTTCTGTGTACAAAAGCTGTGGCTTTAAATAGCCCTTTCTAAGATTCAGGGAAATGGAGTGGTGTAGAAGCCAAGTCAGTGAGCTGGGAAAGGACACTTTTCAAGTGAGAAGAACAAAACAAAAAGTAATTCCATAAAGCAAATGATACTTTATAGTGCAAATCATCTTTCATGTTTAAAAACTCCACATGCAATTCTCTTTACATTTATTAATCTCAAAAGGCTACTCTTTCAAAAACCCATGTTGGAAAAAAAGCCATTGATCAATACAGTGTGTAGAAGAATAACTTCTGCTTCTCTGAAGTTATTCCTATCAGTCTCTAATTTTTATTCAAGACAAAGATTGTAAGAATTGAAGAACACAAATGTTTAAACTTACATATAAAACAAAGGTATCTCTTTATATACAGCCATGGTTAAAACTGTCTTTTTGTTGACATTGTCCACAAAGAGGTCAAAATGACCACCTTTGTTTATGACATATTTGGTCTCTTAATAGTAGCTATAGAGTTGCTTCAAGTATCAACTCTAACAGCCAAAAAGAAGAAAAAATCAAAAATGAGCAAAGGGATTAAAAGATGTACAAATGATCAATAACCACATCAACTAAATCACAGATCATTAGGGAAATATAAATCTAAACTTCAGTGGGATGCAAAGTTGCCCATCAGAATATCGTGATGACTATTATAGAAGGAAGGTGGGAGGAGTGAGGAGAAAGTAAGTGCTGGCAAGGATATGGGGAAATTGGAACCTTTGCACATTGTTGATAGAAATGTAAAACAGTACAAGCACTGCAAAAAGCAGTATGATGGGTCCTCACAGAATTAAGCGTTGAATTAAAGATTGAAAGCAGAGACTCAGATATTCATATATCCATGTTCATGGTAACATTATTCACAGTAGCCAAAAGGTGGAAGCAACCTGTCTATATCAACAGATAAATGGGTAAACATAGCGTATACATACAGTAGAATATGATTCAGCTTTAAGAGGGAAGGAATTCTGACACATACTGTACCCTAGATGAACCTTGAAGACAATGTGCTAATTGAAATAAGCCAGTCACCAAAAAGACAAATACTATGTGACTGTACTCACACGAAGTAGGTAGAATAGATTCATAGGGGCAGAAAGTAGGTTGGTGGTTGCTGGGGCTGGGGGCAGGGAGGAATGGGGAGTCAGTGTCAGTGGGAACAGAGTGTCAGTTGGGGAAGATGAGAAGGTTTTGGGGATGGATGGAGGTGATGGCTACACAACCATGTGAATATACTTAATGCCACAGTTCTGCACACTTTAGTTAAGATGGTCAGTTCTACATTATGCGTTTTTTGTGTCTGGTACAAGAATTTGAACTCAGGGTTTCATACTTGCAAGGCAGGTACTCTACCATTTGAGCCACACCTCTCACCTTTTTTCTGTGGTTATTTTGGAGATAGGGTTTCACCTTTTGTTTAGGCCATCCTGGACCACAGATCTCCTATCTTAGGCTCTCTGCCAACACTAGGATGACAAGCGTGCATCACCACATCCAGCCTTTTTCCATTGAGGTGGCGTCTTGCAAATTTTTTTGCTTGGGTTGGCCTGGAATCACACTCCTCCCAATCTCAGCCTTTCATGTAGCTTGGGATAACAGGCACACACCACCATGCATGGTTATTGGTTGAGATTGGGTCTGAAAAGAGGCACCACACTAAGAGGATTGCCTGCTATGTGCCAGAGCCTGGGGGTGGGCACTTTACAGACACCATGTTAACTTTCCGTCCTGGCCTTTGAGTGTTAGAACAACCATTTTGGAATGAAAACATTTGGAACTTTTACCTCATAGTAGCTTACTGCAGAAACATAATAGTAAGCTATTGAACTTAGGCTGCTTTCTTTTAACTCAGTTTGTATTTAACATGCATTTGAAAGATCATGGTGCAAATGGCAAAAGACAGGCCATTTATTTGGTCTTCATTCCAGGTGGGTGCACTGAGTAGGAACCACCTGGATCTACCATTCCTCTCTTGCAGCACTTATGCAAGTGGGTATAATGGTTACCATTATATAAACGAGGAAGTAGAAGCAGAGAGAAATGAATAACTTTCCCAAGGTCACCAGCCATGAGGCTGCAGGGCTGGCCCATGGCCCTGGGGGGCTGGCCCATGGCCCTGGGGACCTGGCCAGAGTCATCTTTCTGTGCTGAGATTCAACTTAGCACTAATGGGCTGCCTGTGATCTTCTCTCCCCATTTCTCATTCTAGCCTGCTGACCACAAGGTGTAGGGCAGGTGACTTTCTCCCATGCATTCCCAGAACCTTCTTTAGGAAACCTCAGGCCCAAAAGTGCACCTGGACCTGGGGACAGCAAGGACTCGGCCTTCCCTTCCTTGCCACAACCCATTGATCTCATCTGCAAGCCACAAACTATGTTGCCAAGGGAACTATTATTGTCTTATAAGTTGCAACTGTAAGCTCATCTAATGAACACAGAGGCACAAGCTAGTGAGCATAGATACCCTTGGAAGGGGACATGTTAGGGATAGCTGGGAAGCCCGCTTCTCCTGCCCTTGCCACATCTCCAAGAGAGGCAAGCATCTAGCCAAACGGCTAACCATCATCAGGTCACATGTGTGAGGTCTGTAAACCCAAGGCCCCAATGAAGGAGGTCTCTGATTGAAGACGAGGGAGTGCCTGCCCTGAAGGACTGCCCACCAGCCCTGTCTGCGGGCCTGAGGCCACACCTGGGCTGTGAGTGTGGTGCATATGAGAGGACATTGTGCTCAGTGATCAGTGTTCTGTTAGTCCCTGGTGCCTTGGTCCACCCCTGTGGGAGAAAATAGCAGAGGGAGAGAAGACCCCATGCTCAGAATGAGGGAGCCCTGGCTCAGATGCACCTTATAATTTGGCTGGCATGGTGAGTGAATGACACTGTGTCGACCCAGCTCTCCTGACTTCCAATTTTTGGGCTTTGTGTGTCAATCCTGCACAGCCCTGTGTTTGTTGTCCTGGCAAATAGCATAGACAAAACTGATGTTTATGGCATGTGCTCCTGGCCCCCATATCACCCATCAAAATGGACCCTGAAAGGGAGAGCCTTGTGAAAGTCGAAGCACAGCTCTCACATGCATTAAGCTGCCGGCAGCAAGGAAAGCAGGAGGTGCATTAAGATCCCAAAAGGCTCCAGAATCTCAGGCTGGGAAGCACATATGGCTCTGTGCCTGCCCTGAGAGGCCTCACTTCTCCCTTCTGTTGCCTCCTACCTCACCATCGCCAACTTCATTCTCTTCCTCTGTCAGCAGGACTCTGCCCTTCCTAGTCATCTCGTCTTCATCCATAGCCAGGAATACTTCTCCTACCAGGGGACCTCACCATTTTTTAACTTTGAATTTTAATTGTGGTAAAATACACATAGCATAAAATTTACCATCTTAACCACTGTAGTGATACAGTTCAGTGATATTAATTACATTCACAATGTCGTGCAACCATCACCATTATCCATCTCCAGAATACTTTTTATCTTGGAAAACTGTAACTCTACCCATTAAACTCTTAACTCCCCATTCCTCCCTCCCATAGCCCCTGGCAGGCACACTCCTGCCTCCTGACTCTGAACTTCATTCCTCTAGGTCTCTCATGAGTGGAATCAGACAATATTTATCTGTGTGTGGCCAGCTTATTTCACCTAGCATAATGTCCTCAAGGTTCATCCATGCCATAGCCTGTGTCTGAATGTCTTTCCTTCTTAAGGCTGAATCATATCCTATTGTATATACAGCCACAGATGGTGTATCCATTTATTTGTAGGTAAGTACCTGGGTTGCTTTTACCTTTTGGCTACTGTGAATGATGCTGTGGCCACAGTTGTACAAATAGCTGTTCAAATCCTTGCTTTGAATTCTTTTTGATGTTGTGTCTACAAGGGGAATAGCTGGATCTTAAGGCAATTCTGTGTTGACATTTTGAGGAATCACTAAGCTTAAGAAACTGCTGTGTCACCAGCAGGACCTGAGGGCTCCAGTTTCTCCACATTGTCACCAACACATATCCTGAATTAACTTCCTTCCTTCCTTCCTGTCCTTCTTGTCCTTCCTCCCTTCCTCCCTCCTTTCCTTCCTTCCTTTTTCTCTGTCTATCCTTCTTGTCCTTCCTTCCTTCCTTCCTGTTCATCCATCCTTCCTTCCTCCCTCCTTCTTGTCTTCTTCTTTGTGCCTTTTTCTTCTTGGTAGTACTGGGGTTTGAATTTAAGGCTTTGAACCTTGCTAGGCTTGAGCCACACTCCCGGCCCGCTTCTGGATTATTGATCGTCACCATCCTAAGAGTTGTGAGGTGCTACCATCCTTTCTTTCTGAAAACAAGCATCCAGCACCTGTAGCCTGAAAACTTGATAGGATTCTAAAGACAGTCTATACTGTTAAGCATACACTTGTGTTCACCTGTTTGTGTACGCATGCACACACGCCTCTCTCTGTGCATCATAGCCTGGCTTCAGTTGCTCTTGAGAGTTCAGTTCCCTGAACTCCCTGCCTGTGACAGTTCCCTGGCTGTCCAGCTCCAGCCTTGGTGAGTCCCCATTTTCTGAGACACATGTACATTGATCTCACAGGAAGACAAAGTCTCTAAGGGTGTTTGTTTTCTGGCTGCAGAACCACAACCATGCCTGCATAGCCTGTCGGATCATCTATCGCTCTGACGAACACCACCCGCCCATCCTGCCCCCAAAGGCTGACCTGACCATTGGCTTGCATGGGGAGTGGGTAAGCCAGCGTTGTGAGGTGCGCCCTGAAGTCCTGTTCCTTACCCGCCACTTCATTTTCCACGACAACAACAACACCTGGGAGGGGCATTACTACCACTACTCGGACCCCGTCTGCAAGCACCCCACCTTCACCATCTATGCCCGGGGCCGGTACAGCCGTGGTGTGCTCTCCTCCAGGGTCATGGGCGGCACGGAGTTTGTGTTCAAAGGTAGGTCTGCCTCTAGTCACCACAGAGTGGCTTAGGAGCAGTTCTGGGACATTTTTGTTTAAACAGAGCCTGAGGGAAAGGGTGTCAGTTTCTACCTCAAATTATCTTTGGAAACACCATCTAAGTTCCTCCTGCCTGCTAATCAGGGCCAGGTGCCAGACCTCAGCCTGTAGCTCAGGTGCAGTGGGGCAGTGGTAAAGTGTGCCCCAAGGAGGACACACTGCGTGTTTTCTTACACACACTTAAGCAGACCTGAAGTATCCCTCTGTCAACATCTTGCTCATTGTGCCAGGTGCCTTCCTGAGTAGGTGATAAAGAGCAGCTGTTGTGAGTTCTAGCATTTTCTATTTCAAGTTTGCATGTCTTTGTAAACTAATGTCATCCCTGAGACAACCAAATAAAGAGGGATGGTCTTAGTCCTGGCATGACTCCTCCAGGGTATCTTGCAGTCTAACAAGGGTAAACATTTTTATTATCCGGAGGTGTCTGGAGCACCTTAGCTCCATGCAGATTTGCTCCTGGTACGCTGGCCTCATGGTAAGGTAAGCTGATTGATGGAAAGCAGTCTGTCCACCTGGCCCACAGCCCTGTTCCATGTAGAGTGGTCCCCTAGGGGATCTTCCAGGCAATACTCCACAGGACTGGAGTTTCTATTTATTTACTCGTATTTTTATTGCCTGCAGCCTATCTTAATTTAGATGGCCAATTTCTGGCCACATATGAATCTTTAAGAATACTAATTAGTATAGGTATTTGATACCCAAACTTTCAGACACCACAAAATCTTTTCATAGAAGCAAAATTCCAGTTTTTGTTGAATATTTTTGTATCCCAAGGAGTCACTTTCCCCATATACAACTTTTGGGGAACACTGATACAGTTTCATTTCAGACTCATGGTCATGATAGTAGCAGATGGGCTCAGCTTATAAACACCAAATGCAGGCCATGTTTTCTGCCCACACCTGCAGTATCCAATTGTCCCTTGATATCCATGGGGAATTAGTCCTAGGCACCCCTGAGGACAATAGAGTTCCCAGTAGCTCAAAATCCTTCTATAAAATGGTGCAGTGATTGTGTATGACCTTTGCACATCCTTTCTTAGACTTCCTGTCATCGCTAGATCACTACAATACCTACTGCAATGTCAGTGCTACGTGAATAGCTGTCGCCATATGGTTTAGGGGTAATGAGAAGAAAACCTATACATGGTCAGGACAAACGCAGTTCCTCCCCGGTATTTTCATTCTGCCGTCGGTTGAACCTGTGGCTACAGAGCCCATGAATGTTGAGGGCCAACTGACTGCCCTTCACGTCCACATGAAGGCCTCCTCCCACCTGAGAATGCTTTTCTGACTACTGTGGTCGGCTGACTGGGTAGATGGGACTTTATTTGAAAAGAAAATCTTGTTTAAATGGAGTGTACCCAGCATTGGTCATGTGAGTGTCTGGTCCCAACGCTTTCTTCCTTAAAGTCATGGAAATCTCTCTTCTCCACAGTGAATCACATGAAGGTGACCCCTATGGACGCGGCCACAGCTTCGCTCCTCAATGTCTTCAATGGGAATGAGTGTGGGGCTGAGGGCTCCTGGCAGGTGGGCATCCAACAGGATGTAACACACACCAATGGCTGCGTGGCCCTGGGCATCAAGCTACCTCACACAGAATATGAGATCTTCAAAATGGAGCAGGATGCCCAGGGTCGCTACCTGCTCTTCAATGGCCAGAGGCCCAGCGATGGCTCTAGCCCAGACAGGCCAGAGAAAAGAGCCACATCCTACCAGATGCCGTTGGTCCAGTGTGCCTCAGCAGCACCCAGGGCCGAGGATTTGTTGGAAGACAGTAGAGGCTACCAGTATGGCCGGGCACCAGGAAGGAACACCCAGGCCCTGCTGTCTGTTGCTGTCACCTGGCTTTTGACTCTACTGCATTGGAACATCCTCAGATAGAAGTTTTTAGAAAATTATATTTTTCCAAACTAAAATTTGCCATTTACAGATTTACTTTATGAAAAGAAAGGACATGGATTCCTTTGATGCACTTGAATGCCTGAGAACTCTCATTCCCTTTTCCCCTCCCCACTTCCAGTCCCTGAGTCATGAAAGCGTATTTGAAGTTTCTTCTTTGAACTCTGTCCAGCCGGATCCCTGGCCTGAGCAACTTCATGGCAGTAATTGCACTTTAAGTCTTCAGAGAGTTTGGGCTAGTGTGATTGGTAGAGACAGCAGGGGTGAGAGCTAGGTCCTCTTATTTTTGTCCTCCTAATTATTATTGTATTTCTGAGTTGAGCTTAGAAGAGGCAAAGGTCAAGCTACAACTTTTCCCTGCCGTTTTACTGTGATTACTTCCAGTTCTTTTACACTTCAAGATTTCTAAGCTGGCACAAAATGCAGAGTTGTTTAGGGACTGTGATCAAGACATCTTATTAATAAAGAGATGCAGGTGTAGATATGTACATAGAAGAAGATGCAAGGTTTAGCTAAATCATCTTTATAGTCTTTATGCAAAAAAAAAAAGGATCAAAACTTTCAGAATTTTGAGTGGAAAAGTATGTGTAATTAAAGTTTGAAAGTAACAAACTTTTTTATTTCACTAGTTTTCACTTGAGAGAAGAGGTGTGTGCTGTGTGCTAGAATGCGACCTGCTATTCTATCTGCCCTCTCAGCAGTCCCAGGTATTCAGGAAATAGAAAAGCGTGCTGTCACCAGATAGACAAGGGTAGCAGTTCATGGGTTAGCAATGTGTTAAATGCTACAGGAGAGACAGAGAAGGTACCCAGTCACCACAGCTTCCTCCTGGTGGGCCACTGAGTCCTGGATCACACTGTCTGGTTAGGGTGGGCAGAAGGAGCCCAACTCCCGCATCTCTGCGACATCAAAGACAGACACAGAGACAGAGCTCCCACACTTCAGTAGCTGTTCAAAGAGGATGAGGTGGGAATTGCCCACACTGGGTGCTCGCTCCAAGACCCCACCTCAGTGCGCAGCAGGGCTTTTGTGCTAAACTCTTCTTACCATTGGACATGCCAGCTGGATTCAGTTTCCTTCCTGCCATTGACCTGGCTCTGTCCCAGCCGTGAGTTTCAGGGCCATCTTATTCAGAATCCGATTTCGTTACAGTCATTAGACAGGTGGAGGGTTTGTTGCTGCCCATTCCTTTGGATTATTGGAACCATTGCTTTCTAAACACCACGTGCTATTGCTCCCAGACACCAGTGCAGGCAGGTGATAAGAAACCAAAAGCCAAGATGAATCAGAAGCAGACATGCAGACTAGAGAAGGCTTAGCCTTGTATTTAAAAACTGACTTTATAAGCCAGGTGTGGCAGTCCATACCTGTAATCCCAGCACTGGGGAGGCTGAGGCAGGAGGATCAAAAATTCAAGGCCATTCTGGTTATATAGAGGGACGCTGTCACAAAAAAAATAACTTCATGAAATGTAGTAGCATTCAGATTTGTATTAAGATATAATGATGGCATGGGGTACAAAAGTGCTTTATTTTTAGATTATATTTTAAGTCAACGGTGCATACTTGAGGTTTATACAAAATGAAAATACTAATAATATCTGCCAAGTTTAATAAATGAAGAAGTCAAAATTTCCTATATAATATGTCTGTGGATCTATTTAATACTGATACTGCCATTTTCTTTTTTTCTCAGTTTTTTTTTGGCAGGGGAGAGCAGTATTGGATTGAATTCAGGGCCTTGTACTTGCTAGGCAATAGTACTACCACTTGAGCCATGCCCCTAGTTCTTTTTGCTTTAGTTATTTTTCAGATAGGATCTCACACATTTTCTTGGTCAGGCCTTAGACCACAATCCTACCTGTGCCTCTGCCTCCTGTGATCTGGGGTCACAGGCACCACCGTGCCTGGCTTGTTTTTGAGATAGGGTCTTACTAATTTTTTTACCCAGGCTAGCCTCCAATGATGATCCTCCTATCTCTGCCTTGCAAGTAACTGGAATTTTAGAAATGAGCCACTGCACCTGGCCCTGTGATGCCATCTTTAAAGTGAAAAACTATACCCACTGCTAAAGCATACCTCAGTGACTAACCATGAGAGATAGACTTACAGTCATTTAGTTCACCATCACCCACATAGACTCAGGTACTCCTGCCTTTTAAAATTATGCTACACACATACATACCCCAAAACAAAGATACTAACGTGTGCAGTGTATATTTGTGTTTATATGAAATTCATGTCATACTGCTTTCTGATGCAATATGAATCATTGCAGAGAAGAACCAACATAATTATTTCACAAATCATTGGCACACTTAGGTGTATGTACGTCGTGTTAATCTCATTTTGGTTGTATCATGTTAATGTTAACAAGCATCTCTAAAAGTAAATTCCCTCAAGTGCCCCACAGTGATCTTTGTGTTAGTGACTTCCATTGCCTTGAAGAAATCTCTAGGTCATTCAGGCTTGAAGGTCACATGTTAACTCAAAACCAAGATGTTTTCTGAGGAAGGAATGACTGACCCTCAAGTGTTCTGTGACAAACTTAAAATACTTCATCTATTAAAAAAATCCATCACTCACCCTGAGTAACTAGCAGGAAATTCTGCTTATAAATACTAAATCTGGGAAAAGTCCTGAATAGGTAAAAGGAGGCTGTTGAAGAATTCCTTGGCCTGAGGCAACTAGGTTCTTAGTCCATTGCTGTAACAGAACACCTGGGACTAGAAAATTTATAAAGAATACAGATTTATTTTGGCTTACAGATGGCTAATATTGGGCAGCTACATCTGATGAGGGCCTTGGGCTGCCTCAGTACAAGGTGGGATGCTAAAGGACAAGCTGGCTGCGTGTAGGAGGCGAAAACTCCTTGTGGCAGCTAAGCAGTCCAAGAACAAGCACTCAATCCTGAGAAACATCTTAGTCCCTTCATGAAGCCCTGCCCTTGGCCCACCCTCTCACTGGGCCCCACCTCTCAGCCCTGCCTCATTGAGGAATTAAGGTTCTAACATACGAACTTTTGAGAGAGACCCGTAATACAAAATAGCACCAGGCTTCATTCTGGGTAGAAGGCCGATAAGGTTCAGGGTCAGAAAGTTGTTCTTTGAGCAACAGTAAAATTTAGATGTAATCAAGACTTCAAACTCTAAAATCAAACTGACCCTAGCTCAAAAACGGAAGTTCTTGGAGTTTCTACTCCGTGCAGCACAGAAGAAAGGGTCAGTTTTCTCCACCAAGTCCACACTTGTATCCAAGAGCCATTGTGTACATCGTGCCCAGCACCTGTGACCTGTAGGTGATTTTTTTGTCATCCAGCCCATTACTAGTGGCCTGGTGACCTACTAGGGCAACTCAGCAGTGCTTAACATAAAGGGATCCATCTAGGGAGGCTTGGCAGACCTGGATGTTCACGGTAAGGCCTCCCATGCACAAGTTCCTTGACTGTGAGACTGGTTTCTGGTTGAAGGAAAGCTTCCATTGTGATAAAAGCCATCTGTACTTCACCACTGCTTTAAATACATATGAAAGAAAAGGTGGTGTTTATGGCAGTGCACACAACCTTCATAATGTCATGTTAAAGTGTAACCCCCAATCCCTATGACATTCTAGGCATATGATGTGGGGCATAGAAACCAACAGAACAGCTAACTAGACATTGTAGGACACTGTCCCCAAAGGAAAATGCCTAAGACTGGGATAGAATTACTGGAGAGGGGATGGGTGGGGACAGAGGGAGCATAGTCCACTCACATATGGAGACCCCTAATCCCCACAGGTGTTCCCAACCTTCTTGAAACATCTGAGCTTTCATGAATCCAAACACCTCCCGTAAGGATGGATCTGCATCAAGGACAAATAAATGATGGATGGATGATTTCCATGGATCTCTAGCTTTGTGAGAAAATGCACCGACATGGTTTGCTTGTTCTAAGACATCACATGTCCTGAAAGTGAATTCTTCAAGTCCCTGGGATGGTTCAAGAGTGCTCCTGGCTTGCAGTACAATCACTGATTATGAAATTGCGCCACTCTTCCTTGGTGTTTCAGTCAGCAAAACAGCACCATCAGGGAAGCTATGGCCTCTGATTTCTTGTCAGCTGGCATGATCAAATTAACACAATACACACCATACAGCCCCGCCCAGTCAAGGATACTAAACAGAATAAGTGTCTGCTTCCAATGGTTTGGACCCACATAGACACGCTTCTCCTTTGCTCCAGATGCACTGTTGCATTTGAAGGCAGGTTGGAACAGCCTTTTTTTCCAAGACTAAGCCAGTGGTTTCTCTGGACTCCATTTGGTCTCCCTGTTTCCCATCTCCATTGTACAATGGACTCCGTAGCCCTACACCCTCTGAAACACCATCGGAGCAATTTCATCCCCTCTTCATTTAGCCATTGCACTGGAATTAAGAAGCTCAGAGAAGTCTATGAGCTGCACTTGGCAGCCTGGGCTGTCTGCCACACAAGCTTCACCTCCATCTTCCTGGGCTGGAGGGTCGTTGACACCTTTGTCATTGCTAACAAGTATGGAACTGCTTCAGCCTTTCTAATTCTCATTTAGTCACTTCCTCTCAAGAGAAATGAATGGCAGGGAGGATTCTCCAGAAGGCTGGCAGTTGTATTTTCTGAGGACTTTAGACATTGGGGGCCTGGTCTTTCCATAGCTGATAAGACAACTGAGAGGATGGGGCCTTCAGAAAGTCAAGGCTATAGTAAAACAGTTAGGGGGCCACTGTCCAGGAAGAGACTCCTATCTCCTATGTAAAACAGTTCAGTCTCTCACAGATTGGGACCCGGATAGCATCTGCCCTGGGTTCTGTTGACAAAGATTAAAAAATTGTGGTACTAGCTGCATGCTAAAGTTTTGTTCACCCACTTACTTGAGAAATAAAGCTCTATTATGTCTGGTTCCAGCATTATTTATGTGAAGGAAAATAATTAGCCTCATATTACCCTTAACTCATAACTCCCAAGTGGAGCCCTTTTAAAAGTCTCTGAAAAATGCTTAGAGCCTCCTGTGAGTTCTAAGGCAAAAGGTGTTTACTGCAGTGTGTTAAGAAGCAGGCAGCCTGGTGGGGATAAAATAGGGTAGGCAATCTGCCAGGCAAAATGCAAAAAGAAGATAGCTGTCCTCCAAGGCACTGCCTCTCTTGCCAGGAGGTAAAGGGTGCCTTAATGAAACAGGGCTGGTTTGCTTAAAAATCCTTTGTACAGTGTTTGCTCAGATTCTCGACTCTGGAAGGAAACAGGTTCCCTTGGTTTTCCTAAGCTTGGTTCAAGGGATATCAAATGTACAGCACAGCCCTATAGATACTAGGGCTGATTAAAAAGCAGCAATACTCTTTA